TATGTATATATATATATATATATATGTATGTATATATATACATATATATGTATGTATATATATACATATGTATGTATATGTATATATATACATATGTATGTATATGTGTATATGTATATGTATATATATATATATATGTATATGTGTATATGTATATGTATATATATATATATATGTATATGTATATATATGTATATGTATATATATATATATTATATATGTGTGACATATATAGTATATGTCATTGTGTCAAACATTAAACTGCAGCTACTAATAATGTTACACAAAAATGAGAGCAGAAATGGCTTCCAAAAGGGACTAAATTCACTTCCTACACCATCAAAGCTTAATAACTATATATATATATATCATATAAAAGTAGAACTAAAAATGTCTATTACAAGGTTTATAGGACAAATAACTTTTATTTTTTTATTTTTTTGTTTACAGTTTGCTTTTTAGGCGGATTTTTTTTTTGTTATAACTACATAAAGTTTAATAAGGGACTGGCTTCATATTGCCTACACAAGTATAACAGTGGTATTGGACATCTTGGACACTACCAAAGAGCTTTATTAACTGCAGTGCATCTTTTAATTCCTTTACAATTAACTCACAGGATGAAATGTGCATATGACTTGCTATTTTTCATGTATGCTTGCGGGATGTTTCTTTATGTTTTTGTACAAATCAGGAGCTGGGACACAATTCATTCATGTATGTATAGAGATTGGGTGCAACAGAAAATAGTCAGACCTGTCAACTGTGGATGAAATAGTCGGAGTTTGATAAAGGCACTACTCAAAGTGTTCTTTGATCTAGTTCAACTGAACACTGAGGAGATAATTAAGATGCTGTGCCCTTTTACATGTAATCCTAATAAATTATGACATTTGTTTAGACCCTCAGGCAAGACAAGCAGCACATTCATACATAAAATGTTTTAGTCCAACTCCTGTCATTTCTTCTTTTGTAACCGTACAGCTCTCAGAGGTCATACAGGGTATCTGCTTTGCAATACAAAATTACTGTCTCGTTTACTGGAACCAGGCTGGAAATCCTCCTGCAACACATTTGCTTTATGAAGACACAGATTTCACAACATTTGTAAACAAAAAAATGGATGGCAACTGTTGGATTTTCTATTGAACCAAAATCAAATGGTGGACTGTTTTTTTGTTTGTTTTATATTTGCAATTTAGCTATTTTCATGCTCATTTGCTACGAGGAGGATAAAACTCAGTATTGCTTTGAATGTATTTGTGGAGACTTGTATATGTCAGAGTTTAGCAGCATTGCTTGTCAAACATGCAATAAAAACAGATATGCAGACAACAATGTGTAGGGTGTGATTTTCTTTATGGATGCTTCATGAAGCCTTTACATTTTCTGTTAAAAGGTATATTTAATGTTCATGTAAAATGAGTCCAATTTGTGTTTTACAGTTTGAGCTCTTCAACTAATTGACCTTCAGGCTTTATCTCAGGAGAGATTTTTGTGGTGTGTGCATGCCTTCCAATGACTAAGAGAACAACTATGGTAAATAGGAACGTTTCCAGCTTTATTTTTTCAAAGTTGTCATGAGGGTTGGAAACCCTGGCATTAAATGTGCACAAAGCACATCTATGGCAATTTATTATCCTGCACCAGAAGTCTTCAACCTGCAGCTCTCTGGTCTCTCTGCAGGAGCTCTTTCAAGCTTTGACCAAAACTAACACAAAACCGAATGTTATTGGTTGGTTGTTATACCAACAACAAGAAATTGGGTAGTTTAGTAGTTTACCAGTCATTTATTTTGCAAACTTGTGAGTGGTGGCATTAATACAAGGATTAAAACATGTAAACTACATCATGCTAGGAGTTGGCCACTTCTTTAGGCTGACTAATAGTCTCGCAGTGTGAACTTTCTCAAGTTCACCAGAATTTGTTTTTATGTAGACAAGTTGGGAAGAAATATGATGTCAATTTTATAAAATAAAATTTAAAAAGAGTTAAAGTAAATGGAAGTATTTCTATTTATTTTAAAATTCAATTACATATCCAACAAACTGACCTAATTTTTAAAAATTCACTTTAACGTTATGCTTAATTACTTTGAAGTAGGATACTTAATTAATTTTTCCACAATTTAAAAGGAAACTCACATAGACTTGTAAAGTACAGTGTTTTATTTTTATAAAATTGGTGAAAACTTTTTTCTTTACATTACATTTCTTTTGTCTCAAGATGTAAAAAATATCAATAAATATTAGAAATCATTAGATATTTCTAGTTTGATACTGTCACCCCCCGATGGGCCAAAATAGCTCCCATTAACAAACTTGAAGTTGTCCGCGGGCCGCAAAGCAAAGTTGTAGCACGTTTAGCAGCTCCCTGCATATTTTGTTTAGTGAGCAAATGGGAAGAAATGGTTCTTTGAATTATAAAGGTTACAATCCTGTGTGTACTACATCTAAAGTACTGTGCATTAAAACAAATACCGTATTTTTCGGCCAATAAGTCGCAGTTGATTTTTGCATAATTTACATGCCCTGCAACTTGCAGACCAAAGCAACATATTTATGGATTTTTCCACTTTATTAGACAAATATGGACTGATGTGATTTATAGGGCAGTGTGACGTGTAGGCCGGAAAATACGGTATATGCACAGAATAATTTAATGGTTTTATTAAACCTTTTTTTTTTTGGTTGGTTCTTATTATTTATTGACAAAGAGTGAGTTAACCTGGTTTTATCAAGGCTTCTAAATAAGTCACACCTTTGATGGTAAAAGTATGAGCAAAGAAAGAAAAATAATTTTCATACACTGGAAACCTTGTAAAGCAGTTAAAGAAGGAACCTCAGTTTGGCGTCTTGTAAAAGGATTTTCCCACCTGGATTATGTATATGAGAATGAATCATACCTCGGTGTGTGTGTGTGTGTGTGTGTGTGTGTGGTAGGTTGAATTCTGGGTGGATGTCTGGGCGTTTGTCCAAGGAGCATCATGTCAGCTTCTCTCATGTCTGAGCCTGCCACACAGCAGCAGGTTGTCTTTTCCTGACTTTCGGTTTCCACATTTTGAAGTCGTTTTGCTCTCAGGGCAGTTGTTTTAGTGCTGGTAAATTAACACATACACCTGCACTTACTGGTGATTAAAATGAGATTTATTTTACACCTTCTAACATTTATACTTACTCCACTAAAATGTAACAGAGATAAAAATAAAAAATAAAGTCAAGAATAAGGGGCAGGAAAAACAGGAAATCAATGCCAGGAGGTGGTGGTGTTGGAGACAGGTTGGATCACTGGCATGAAAGCCAGGCCTTGGTTTGAGGCTAGATCTTGAGGATGATAACGCTGCTCACTTTGCTCTTCTACTTCCTTAGGCCTCTCTTGCTCCTCTTGGATCTGTCAGAAAGCAGGTCATGAGGTCAAATAATCAGTTTTTATTTCCCTACAAAATGCATGAATAAAGGACAAACCTTGTCACCTAACCATGACTGAATCTACGGCACAAATGTTTCAATCAGTGGCCAATAAACTAAGCAGCCAGAAGAACATGCACCAGAGCCTGGAGGTTCATGAGGGTGTGACTTGAGGGCAAAGTGGCTGAGTCGTAAACAGGTTTTGCGAAAGATGGAAAAAAACAAACAAAAAATAAAAACACGTATTTCTCACGTTTTCTGGTGGTCGCTCACACGGTTTCTCAGCACATTAATCTGAAAAAGAAAATATATATATATGTATGTCTTGCAACGTGTTTTGTTTTACTACATTGCACACGGTTGCACACGCACCTCGTATTTCTGCTTGGCAAACTGATACTGCAGATCAAACTTCTCCGCCTCCAGCTGGTACATCCACTCCCACAGCTCCTTAGCTTTCTCCCTGTGAAAAATCAAAAACCCTTCATGGTAATCTCAGATTGTCGAGGTTTTCATGACTTCACGGTGATACTGCATCTCCACCCACTTCAGTCTTTCCTGACTAGAGTTTACAATGTCAAGAGATTTGCGTCTTTCACTCAGGATCTTCTTCTTTTTCTCTCTCTCTGTCTGCCTCTTTCCACTCCGTTTCTCGTTCTGTTGAGGTGAAACAAAACTTGGCTTGGTTCACATGTTACTGCGACGATCTCAAAATAACACCAACACGGAGTGCTCACCAACTTCTGCATGTAGCCACCAAAATGGAGGCTGGTCAGGGTTTTTTTCTTCTTTGCATCCTCCTCTGCCCTCCTCTTAGCCTCCTCCTCCTCCTTACGAGCTCTCTCATCCTGAGGAAACATGGACCCAAAAATAAAAATGACCTTTTTGAAAGTTTGGCAGATAAGTGAACTTTTATTAGTCAAATAGTTGGAACTTTACGTAAACAGGAAAAATTACCCTTCAGTTTCTTTTTACAGGTGCGCCCTGACCAAGACAAGTAACACCATGAAGTGAAGGAATCAAGCATGACAAAGTTTTTGATGTCAACTAGTGTTGGCCATCTTAAATGGGCTTGTCTCCTGAACTTAATCAATTGAAGTTGTAAATTCAATGACTTTTCTCTGGAAGGTTAATTTAAGGCAGGGGTCTGCAACCTGTGGCTCTGGGGCCACATGCAGCTCTTTAGTCCCTCATCTGTGGCTCTGTGAAGCTTTGACCAAATCTTACAGGAAATTTAATTGTTCTGGTTTTTATACTCACAACAAAAAAAAACCACTAGTTTTGTCAGTTTTCTGCAAATGTTTGAGTGACACTATTGTTTTTTGCTTCATCACTTCAAAGTCGGACACTTCATTTTTCCTCAGATAAAATGCCATCACATAGGCCTGCAGAGTTCAATTCATTTGTCATCTCAGGGCACTGAACAGAAACATTCATAGATATAAAAAGTAAGTTATCATTATTTATCTGAGGAGCAGACTGATTTGAGTTTAACTTCATCACAGGACTCTCATCTTGAGCAAGCATGAAGGCGACAGTGGAAAGGAAAAACTCCCTCATGAGGAAGAAACCTTTAGCTGAACCAGGCTCAGGACAAGCGGTCATCTGCATCAACCGGCTGAGTTTGAGAGGAACAAGAAGGAGGAATAGATACACAATGGCAGGTTAAGAATCACATGTTAAGATAAAAATAGTATCAAATGAAAACTATTAAATTTTAACAATTAATTTTAAGAAATTAGGTCAATTTGTCCTCCAGCAGTCTAAGTCTATGGTATCATACCTTGTCAACCCTAACTATAGGATTTATCAAAAATTAAAGTCTTAAGCCCAGTCTTAAAACTGGACAATGTGTCAACCTTATGGACAGAAACTGGAAGTTGGTTCCACAAGAGAGGAGCCTGATAACTGGAAGATCTTCCTCCCATTCTGCTTTTGGAAATTCTAGGAACCACAAGTAAACCTGCAGTCTGAGAGCAAAGTGCTCTGTTAGGAAAATATTGAAGATCTGTAATATTTAAGCACTGTTGTTAAGCACTTTGATAACAGGTTCTGTTTTAAATGTGCTCTATAATTTATGTTGACTTGACTTGACTTGACTAATATAAGATGGAGCTAGGTTGTTGAGGGCTTTGTAGGTTAGAAGTAAGATTTGAATTCAATTCTGCATTTGACAGGGAGCCAGTGGAGAGAAGCTAAAACTGGAGAGATATGATCTCTCCTAACTCAGCTAATGTTACAGATGTTGAGCTAAAGTTTGATGAAGTGGTAGTTAAAACTCATTTCCAACACATAAGTTGAGTGTCATCATTTTCTGAGATATTTAAAATGTTGCCCTTAACTGTTAGAATCAACTCTGTTAGTAAAATATCTTATGAACCACTGGAAGGATGTTAAGGAATCTCTGGCTACTTGTGCTTGTTGATCTTCACATTTTATTACCCTATTCTAAAAGCAGATGTACATCACACATGAAAACTCCTGATTACCTAATCAATTGTCCATATATCCATTATCTTCCATATGGATGGATGGATGGATGGATCATGGATGGGTACATTGACAAATATATATATATATATATATATATATATATATATATATATATATATATAT